TATATATATATATATATATATAAATTAAAAGGATTACATAAGATTTTGATGGATTACATTCAATCCCAACCAAAGAGATGATCAACTACTCATGATAATGAGAATAATATCTCCATATACAAAGAAAATATAGATGAAGAAGAAAAGAAACCCAGAATCCTCGTCCCTAGATGACTCCTAATAAAGGTGTTCTTTCTTCGGCTCTATTTCTTGCTTTATTCTACTCTTTTTGATGGTGATTTTCTCTCTCTTGATTCCTTAAATATGTGCAACAAATAAAACAGAGTAAGCATGAAAGAGACCAATTCACTCAACCCTTTCCAAATAGTCGAGCAAATTTTTGAATTCTTCGAGGTGAAGAAAGCTCCACCAATTGAGCCAATTCCAATGCGTAGAGGCCTTGAAGATAAAAAATTTCACCCCTCTCTTGACAAATCATCAAAGAGGATAGTAAATCAAAATATTTGATTTGATTTTGTGTTAGAGGCATTCAATGCATACAGGATAATGTATCTAGGGTTTCCTCAAAATAACTAAAGAATGTGTGTAAAAAAACATTTGCTCTCCTACACCTTGAGGCAAATATTTTTAAGGAGGCATCTGTTGGTGAAATTTTTGAAGTGCTCGAAGTATTCTCAAGGGGTCGTTCGATAATCAAAGAAGAGCAATTACAAACAGTTCAGATAAGTTACCCATGCTGCGTAAACGACGAAACGATTATATATCACATGGAACCTATATGCATAATAATCGTTTCTCGAAATAATGTCTGAAGGTCTCGAAGGAATTATTCGATAATCGAAAGGTTTAGAAGGTAGTTGTAAGAGGTTAATAGCAATTAGGAACAATTACTCATGTCGTATAGTGCGGAGCAGTTATATATCACACGTCGAACTAATACGAAATAACTACCCTCTCTTAATTTCTATAAATAAATGAGGCAAACTCATTCGAAGAGATAAAAAATTCAATACTTACATGCTCACAACACTCATTGCCTACGACCATGGCTCTTGTGCACGTGACTATTGAGTATGATTTCTCGGTCATTCTTCTTTTCTTTCTTAGTTCAGTTTTAGAATAACTTAGTTTATAGTATCTTTGTTTCTTCTCAGAATCTCATGCCTGTAATTCACGAACTATTTGAAGTAAAGGATATGGTTATTGTGCTTAATGTACGAGTTGTTCATTCAATTTACTTAAGTGTTTATATGCATGAATGTTGTTTTGTGGTAGTCATCGAAGAGCATATAGAATTCTTTGCATGCTAAACCATATAAAATTGAACCTTGACTAGTCTATCTTGTTTATTTCAATATAGTTACTTATGTTTTATGTATGTGAAATTCATTCCTAGAAGCTTGTTGCATTCTAAGAACGTATATAGTTGAATCTGGTTGCCCTACACGTATGAATTGGTTTAATCTTTATAGTTGTGAAATTAATTGGAGATCATAATCGATAAATACGTAGGATACACCATTTGTTACACCACATGCCTAAATTGAAAATTGTGCTAGTTTGAACAAAAAGAATCCATAAATGAATATTCTCGCAAACATCCACAATTTTAAGAAATTTTATAAATGTTTAAATTTCAAAGTTTTTCTAAATTCTCTATCAAAACAACACATTTTACAGCAAAGCATTTAAAATTCTTCAAAATATATATTGAATTACCTCATTAAAATCTCTCATCCAAACACTATAAAAGAAAAATATATGCCTATATTTAAACATTTAGAAAATATAAGTGTTATATGATATTATTAATCTCGCTAATAAATCATTATACCATGTTAATGATCTATTTGTATTTTGAGAGAATCATGTATTTTTATTTTTAAAAATAAATATTTTCATTTTTTATAATAAAAAATCCAATTATCCCAAACAAAACCAACCTATCGTTACCCCCAATTGGTTTAGTTTATGTTGTATAAAAACTTCTAGCGAATCCAAAACAAACTGAAATAATCAAAATTAATGGATTGGACCGATTATAAACATCCCTATTAAATCGTGTAGTGGTTAGTCAAAACTCCTCCAAGTAAATTGAGAATAATTAAAATTGCATAGGTCACAACATGTGTTGATAGGTCAAGGAAGTTATAAAAATCTGATATCTAACATTATGAGATGTATTTTGAGTGTAGTTGATCACCTTTTTTGACTATTGACTTTTTCTTATTTTTCGATAAGCGACTTGAGCATTAAAATACTTAGAGATGAATTCTCTTCCATTCGTAACATGAACCATGATTCACCCTTGGACGATGCATCACATACATATATATGCATGTGATGTGATGACTTCCCCAAAAGTTGTAACAGAGACAAATGTATTTTGAAAATTGCCAAGCAAAGTCGAGAATGAAACTTGTGGAAGGACGAGTACGTACGATATTTGCGGGGGCATAGGACCGAGTCAACTCGGTCGAAAAGGGTGTTCTTTACTTGTTCTATGATTATTTGCAATTGTCACATTTCACTCTCTAGTCAATCGATTAGTGGGAGGCACCAGTGTGTGAGTGTGACTGACAGAGTAAATACAGCAATGCACCACAATTTTTATTTTTTATTTTTATTTTTTATGAGACAATAATAATTTTTTAATAAAAGTATACTTTTTTTTACTAACAATATTTAGTAATAGCTAATAAGAAGAATTTTTTAATCAAGAATTTGGATAAAAATGATTAGTATGTTGAATATGATCAATTGTTTGGACATTGTCCAAATTTGATCTTTGACAAAAATAATCTTTAATTAGATTTTACTTATCTTTCGATCGATTTGAATTATTTTATAAATATCGTTAAAAAAAAAGAAGAAGAATCCTTTAAATCAAGTAGAATTATAGGTGTAGTTTTTTTTTTTCTTTTTTGCATTTAATTTAAGTACATATTTAGAACTCAATACTAAAAAATCTCATGCTATGCAAGGGCTGTGTTTAAAAGGGAATACACTTTAAATTTTAATGAAATTAATTTAAATCATTAAACATGATGGAGAGTACATATAGGAGTATGTGTTTAAATTAATCTCATCAACAATAGATTTTACTTTAAATATGTATTTTAATAATAATAAAAATTGAGTGCTAACCAGGGAAACACGGAGTCCCACCTTTATTAATTGACCCAATGGTTGACATAATTTGGTTGAATCTTGCATAAATTTATTAGGGGTTACTATATTGAATAATGAAAGTTGAATGATTGGACGAATTTATTTGAAGCATCGAGCATATGAGTTCCATTAAAAGTAGTAACATTTGAATGATTATGGTACGAGAATTTCACGAGGAGTGTTGCGGAGATTTTAAATCGCGCACAGGATTTTCTCCCAAGAGTTACTGTTGCAAAGAGTATAAAAAGTAGGAAAAATTAGAGTGAGACGAGATCAGGGATGGCCCACTGAGGGTCGAATTTCTAGAGAAATGTGAAGCACACACGATAGGGACTCATTCATCACTCATCACTCATTAGTTTTTATTTTTTTATTTATCAAATATTAGCTTGATTAGAAATTGATCTTAAGCGAGTTGTGTCCTTCCAACTTGTATAAACGTATTTAAGAAACTCATATATTTACTAATTATAAATTTATCTATTAAAAAGGTGTTGTGTATGTATATTAAGAAGCATGTGAATTGATCTATAGAAAATTAGTTGAAGATGATTAGTTTAGACTTTAGAGTGTTATTTAGTAGAATATAATTGTGTAAGAATGGTTGGGGGAGAGAGAGGGATGGGTGGAGACATGAAGCAGTACAAGTCATCTCTTGCCTTTCTTTTATGAAACTCTCTCTCTGACAGTCATCTTGTGGGCCCTCACTCCCAACCAGTCAGGCCTCACGGACGGCACCACCCTCTTTCTCTCTCTAACTTTTTGGGAGATTACGGTCCTAATACAATTATGGCATAATCATTTTCATACCTCCCTGTAAAGTTCAACCTCTTTCCCTTTTCAATTCTATTTTCTCACCACCCCACTCACCTTTTCCTTTTCCCATTTTGTGTCTATGGTAAATTTCGTTTACAACTAATAGTACTAGGTAAAAGGATGCTCCGTCATATTCTACAATGACCCATTTGAAAGTTACACACCATCTTCCAACTTTTGGTAGTCTTGCTATATCCAAATATAAGCTAATTTTGGTGTTAAGTTACAATTTAACATAAACTTTGAAATAATATTTACTAGACTTAATTTATCATTTATCATTCAACCATCATACATGTTATCTTCCAAGCTTTATGGTTAAGATAAGAGGAGTAGAATAGTGTTTACATATAAAATAAATTGTTACTCCTTAAGCTAATTTTTGAGTTGAGTTAAAAATGTAAATTTTAAGACTTTTGATCTTATTTACAAACTTTATTTTGTGTAATCTTAATTTTGTAATATGGTGAGTTGGCATAATGGGTGAGTTTACATTATGGAAATAATTTTTTAATGAAAAAAATTATATTTGATTTTTGCTGTATATGAAAATCTTTTGGATTGACAATTATGCCAGAAAGATTGGTTTGTAGTCTATGGATTGGAAATATATGTGACAGGATAAAAAATAATCTTAATTTTGTATAATTAAATTAAATTGGAGTAAAGTAACTTATTATTGAAATTTTTTATTTCAAATTTAAGTTTACACTAAACTTTAGTATACCCATTTTAACCCAACATGAAAGTTAATAGTCCATCCATACATGATATTATTCTCCTAAATCTCGTTTGAATAATGTTATGAACACACAGATTTGTAACAGTAACAGCAATTTTTACTATTGTTCATTTAGTTGACTTGGTAGAATTGCAATTTAAACTGTTTCTAATTAATTGGGTAGATTTATATATACTACTACTTGGTATATATAGAGAGAGAAAGTAAAATAGAGAGAGAGAAAGTGGTCCGCAGAGTCTATGGCTGACTGACCCTTATCAGAGCAGCCGTGTTAGATAAGGAGAGAAAGAAAGAGATCGACTGAGAAAGAAAGAAAGAAAGATATTTTTATATATATTATTCTCTTCTCTTCTCTCTTCATTTAACTCTCAACTATGACTTTGCTTTCCGCGCGATTCACATGTAAAACCAATTTCAATTTCTTTCACACACATATTCCTTTTCTTTTTCCATGTCTCAAATCACAAACTCAATGGAATGAAAAATCATTATCCATGCTCTAATTTTGCTTTCAACATGTCTTCATGTTAGTGTTATTTTTTTCATTCCCAGCACAAGCATAGCGTCTAGCTAGCTAACACACTGCTTTTTGGTTTTATATTTGTTTTGGCAGTAGGCTTTGGAATTTGCAATAGGTAGCTAGTTTAGGACACACAATTTTTCTTCCCTTCAAAAATCATGTCTGAAGAAACCTTTTCTGTTCCTCCCAACACCATCTTGCTTCATGCTCAACCCCCCACCTCAAACCCTAATCATCCAAACCCTAATTCAAATCCACCTAAGAAAAAGAGAAGTCTACCCGGAACACCAGGCAAGTCATCAATCATATCCACTTCTTTTCTCTCAACAATATCTCTTTCATTTATTAAGAATTTAATTATTATTATTATTATTAGTATATAATATATGAAATTATGAATGAACTATGTATAAGCAGATCCAGATTCTGAAGTGGTGGCTCTTTCACCAAAGTCCCTCATGGCCACCAACCGCTTCATATGTGAAATCTGCAACAAGGGTTTCCAGAGAGACCAGAACTTGCAGCTGCATAGACGTGGCCACAACCTTCCGTGGAAGCTGAAGCAGAGAACGAACAAAGATCAAGTGAGGAAGAAGGTGTACGTGTGCCCTGAGAAGAGTTGTGTGCACCATGACCCTTCCAGAGCCTTGGGAGACTTGACAGGGATAAAGAAGCACTATAGCCGAAAGCATGGCGAGAAGAAGTGGAAGTGTGACAAGTGCTCCAAGAAATACGCTGTTCAATCCGATTGGAAGGCCCATAGCAAGATTTGTGGGACTAGAGAGTACAAATGTGACTGTGGCACACTTTTCTCCAGGTTAATTATCATTTCATTCAATTCTACTAATTAATGCCTCATCATACTATAATTAATATGTTCCTTTACTTCAATTTAATAAAGTTAATTTGAATGCCAAATGTGCCTTGATTTATTAAATCTAATGGATGCCAGATATGAAGGAAACAAATGTCATAGTAACTGAGAGAATATTTGTTTGGAATAGTAAATGAGGCTTTGTTTATGTCATATGTGTATATTTATATGTGTGCTAAAAATTCAGGAAGGACAGCTTCATAACGCATAGAGCCTTTTGTGATGCTTTGGCTGAAGAAAGTGTGAGGATAACTACAACTACAGTTCCAGCAGCTTTAAGTAATATTCATCATTTGACCAATGCTCAAGGTTCGAGGATCCCTCAGATTTTCCCCGGCTTTCACTCAGAATTCGGTGGCTCAGGGTCAGAACCATTATATGCTGACGCAAATCATCATCAACAAAAGCTAAGGCTACCACTGTGGCTAGACCATGCCAACAATAATATTAATCCTCATCACCCTCTTAACTTCCCAACCAAACCAAGTGCTTTCACTTCAGGAACAAACTCTGTGCCCGATCTGGTGCAAACAATGGACATGTTTGGGCCACAGTTTGCGAATTACCGTTACCCCGAAGCATCATTTGCAAGTGCCAACCTGTCTGTGCTACCTCCACATGGACTGAAGCAAGAACAAGAAGAAAACAAAGGAGACTTGTCGCATAGTGCAAGCTCTTTGTACTTGAGCACTCAGAATCAGAACCCACCTCATCACATGTCAGCCACCTCACTGTTGCACAAAGCGGTTCAAATGGGATCTACGAGGATGAACGGCAACAACGTGTTCGGCTCCATGAGCAACAACAACAACGTGGTTGTTGAGGTTCACAAACTGAACGAGTTGATGAATGTGGAAGGGTGCACCAACCTTGGAGGTGGTGGTGGTGGTTACATATTAAATGACTCAAGCAACTCGTTTGTGGTTGTGAATAGCAGCAAGGCTTTGGAGCACATGGTGATTCCGGTGGATGAAGAGACAACAGCATCAATTGTGGGCAAGCAATTGCACTCTAAAAACAAAACCCAACTTGGTTTAACCAGAGACTTCTTGGGCGTTGGAGAAAATGTTGACTCAATAAGAAGACCCTTCTTGCAGCAAGACCTTGTTGAATTTAATACAATGGGGTCACACTCAGCCTCATCAGCCATGAACCTGCATAGCCAGTACGGTGGACACTACTGCTAGAGTTTCAAAACATATATAGCTTAGAGCTAAAGAAACTAGTGAAGTTGATTGTCTCATAGTGATATATAATATAGCTAGCTACTCTTATTAGTAGGAGCATGTAAAGACTGAAGAATGAGATGAGACTGGGGACAAAGAATGCAGATCACAATGACTCTGCATTAATATTGTCAACTTTAGACTTAAGATTTCATGTATTTGCTTATGGTGAATGTCCAAAAAACTTCATACCAATAGAAATTGTGCTTATAAATTCATGTTGATTCTATTGTTCCAATAATATGATACTTTCTTTGTATCTTACAAAAGAATACCGAGTTAGAGCGATAGAGAAAGCAAGTAAACGAGTCAACTCAGTCATGCACAGTGAAACGAGGAGATTTCACGTGTGATATTATATATTCGAGGTCTCGTGAGGGAGGTGGGGGCCAATGCATGTGAGAAGGGACAAAAGGCAATAGATATATGTATAATATATGTGTCTATGTGATGAGATGAGTCCAAAACTCAAAGGGTGATTTGATTCTCCGTTATGCTTATGCAAGGTCCCTACTACCCTACACTACCTCCATGGCCATGCATGTCGATGGATATGTTTTCTTTTACCTGGCTAGACTTTTCTCTGACGTGTAACGTTGATACAGCTTTACATTGTCGTACCATTTACCTGGTGTGGTGGCTGTGACCTAGTTTTTCTTTCTTTTAATTGTCAGTGGACTTTTAACTGTGCAGGGCGTGAATGCTTTTCCATGGTGAAATAAAAGACTATAGAATGATAGAGGTAACTAAATGCTTTCTTTTCTTAGTTTTCTAGCCATTTTAAATATGCATGATTTCATTAGCTATGTCGTCCTTTTAGTCCTATTTTCACTATATGTGATTTTTCTCTAAATAAAATCACATGTCATGAGTGGTTGCAACATGGGTTTGAATGAAGAATAGTATAGTTAATTAAATTATTTAAAAATTAAAATATAATCAAGTCTTTTTTTTTTTTTTTTTACTTTATCAATATTCTTAATTTTTTTATGCACAAAATTAATAGACAGTTGTTTTGTTCAATTTTTTTCTTCTTCGCAAAACTAGTATGTGAGACTACATATATATGAATTGTTTTAAGACATTTTATATGAAACTATTATGACATATCATGAAATTTATAATATTTTCTTACTCGAAACTTGTGTGCATTATGCTGACACAATATTCTGTAAACTATTCACAAGTTATATGAAAATTTTTATTATTTTAGCTCCAAAAAAAATTAATATACCTTTAGCTTCAAAGGAGGATTAAGAATTATTGTATTTTTAAAGATTAAAAAATATATTTAAATAAAAAAACAAGATTAAAAATGATTGGATATACGAAAATATTAGAAAAAGAATGAAGACAAAAATGAATAATTCATTTCATTTAAATTTTTATTATAAATTAATTAGTAGGAATTAATTCGTATAACTTGCTTTCGAATATTAAATTCTTGTTTTTCTTATCCATTGATTGAATGATATATTATAGTTAATTAATAAAATGGAATAGGACAAGAAGAGATCACGTGAAAACAAAATGAAATAAATAAAACAAAGCTATTTTGTCCTTTATTTAGAAATCAGTAAATAAACAGAACAGATAATTATTACATTACTTTTATTTCAAGTCCATCTTTATTAGAAAGGAGAACAAAAGAACAATGAAAATCATGGTGGAAATGTTTGTGAATCAGTTTTATTTAGTTGAAAGAGAAAAATTATAACCAAACAAGTTATTTTATTTTATTTTATTTAGTTTTGTAATATTTCCTACGTCAAATTTAAACTGTACAAACATACGAATAAATAAATAAATAACCACACACTATCACAATCGCAAATATAGGCTGATTTAATTTTGTTCATAGAATTTGAGAATATTTTTATTTATAAAATGGATATATAGTTGAATAACGTCCATGCTTTTAAATAATAAAAAAAAAACTATACTGAACATACGAGGATAAAAAAAGCATAAGTTGATATATAATTAGTTAATCAATTGCTAGCGAAATAAGGTTGTGTTGTTTCTGTGTGTATGAAGGAATTAACATTAAGTGAGAACTGTTCATACTTGTTATCATAAAAATAGATTTTAATCGTATATAATATCATAGGTTAATTGGTCTGGAAAATGAGTTACGGAGATTCAAATTATCTTGGGGAATAAAATGATTTTTTTTTCTTCTCACTTATTAAATTATTATTATTATTATTATTATTATTATTTTTATGCAAGGAAATCAAAATCGGTATTAAAAAATTTACAATAAGCACATTACTTTGCTTAACTAACTAAACTAAACATCTTTGATTAACGGCGTGAAAAGGTATGTCTAGTTGAGTTTCAAATAATTTAAACACTCTTATTTAAATATAAGATGAGTTAGCTACTTTAATTTATTTTTATTATACATTTATTTTTTGTATAAATAAATACTTCATGTTTGCTTATTTTTAATATAACGTGTTTTGCATTTTTTCTGTTTTGACAGAAAACACATTTTGGTAAATATCTATAACACTACACCAAAATTAGTTTTTTGTGACAATTAATTTATTATTTGGCGGCCATATAAATGGCCATTATTTTTTTACCAGCATTTAAATAATGGCTGGTGTATCCAGTGTCACTAATACTATTATCGGCATTTATATAAAATGCCGGTAAAAATCTACTAAATTGTTAGAAAAATTTATTTTTTTTAGTGGCAATTCTAGTAGTCATTTTAAAGGCTATTAAAAGTTATTTTTTTCAATTGTCTCCTTTATTTTAAATAATTTATTCCTATAATTTTCTTTTCTAAATTCATAACCTATATATTTTTTTATCTCTACTCGATGTGGAATTTGTAAGATGAGAGTTATCTTTCATTTATATATTTTTTAATTTATTTTTTTAATTGTCTTGTCTCTTAAGAGATGTGAGATTTATAAGGTGAAAGTTGCTTTCTAATTGTTCTATAGCACTATTGAACTTGGTAACAATGGGTGGTTTGATACCAATTTAGAATAGTGAATTAGGAGTCAACCCTATAAAATGAACCTGTAAGGTGATAATTATTACTCACTTATATACTGTTTAATTATCTTATCTCTAATCGATATGAGACTTAAGTTTTTCTAATAAATAATTGTCGCTAATAGTAAACTTTAGTGTAATATAAATACATTTTTAGTGATTATTATACATTAGCCATTAATATTTTTATATATGGCGGCAATTAAATTATTGCTATTAAATAATTGTCATTAATAACAAATTTTGTTGTAGTGTAAATACATGTTAAAATTCATAATTTCATATAAGCTTATATAACAAATATCCTGTATGAGACAAATACAATATGAATTTTTATTCGACAAGAAACCTCATAATTATCATCCCTAGAAATAATCACTACTGATTGGTTAACCAAAGTATAGATTCCTTTGATACCTCTTTGTAAGTAAAAAAAATGTTTAGAATTTGGTAAAATTAAGAACATAATTAAAATCTCGCTTTAGCTTAAGTTTTGAAACAAATATTTAAATTAAAACATGATTTTATTATAAATGTTTATAAATAAATAAAAAGTGTGTTTGAAAAAATCTATTTATTTGAAATAAATGTCTAAATTAAAATCAATAATACTTTTGCTAATCTTAAATAGGGATTCTTAACCATATGTTTCGATCAAGTTATCTTGTCTTAATAAATGTTTTAGAGATTGTTTATATATTACAACTAAAAGATATAATAATTTTGGAAAGAAAAATGAAAATTGGTGTAGCATATGTAAATCCTATTTATAAAAATTAGATTATACTTTAGGTTTTTTTTTTAAAAATTTATTTTAATCTTTTATCTATTAAAATGTTTGTTTTGTTCATTTTTTTAATATTTAAATCAATTTTATCCTTTTAAAATAATAATAATAATTTTAATTTTGTGACATAATTTTGAATCAGTGTTGACTCATTCGAAACATAAAATTTATAACAATAAATTCAATTATATAAAAATTATAAAATTTAATTGACATTTGAATCTATAAAATTTATAACATAATGAAATTCTTGTAAAAAATATGTCTCATAAATAATTAAAAAATAATATAAAATTATAGATTTTAAATTTTAAATCTTTTTAAACTTATTTTTATGTAATTTTTATTATATGTGTGATTTTTTTATTTGAACTTTAATTGCATTCAGTAATTTCTAAATATGTGAAACTAATGAAATAAATTTAAAGTTTTAAATCAATAAAAATAATTATTATCTTAAAAAGACTAAAATTATTGAAATTTAAGAGATAAAAAGTTATAATAAATGTTTAAAAATAAAAAAAATCAAATAAAAAAAATAAATAACTAAAAATATAGTTTAATTGATACATATGTTGGTACAGGTGTATCTGTAAAGAGAAACATGGCAAATACAGTTTAAATGTGAGTGAGAAGAAAAATAGAAAGATAAAACAAAAGTAATGAAAAAAGAAGATAGAAAACACGTAGAAGACAGCAGATAGAAAATTAGAGTAGAGATGGAACTGCCTGGTGAGTGAAATGACAACGCCCGGAAATCAGACTACAAATTATGTTGGCCTGTACATATCCGTACACTCATCACTAAGATTAGACCCTTCATGTTCATGTTCATCTTCATGCTTCAACAACAAAACCTATATATATAATGTTGAAAATGGTGAAATTGTTTTGAGGGTGTATAAATATAATGTTGCACACGTGACTACTAACAGGTATGTGTGAGGAAAACAACAAAAAATGGCATGTGGGGGGTGCCATTGCCATATAAATTGGCGTGAGAGAATGACAGGTAGAGGATATAGTACATGTTAATTAGTTCTGGGAATAAGCATCCTAACCTACCCAAGAAATTAATAATAATGGGTAAGATGAAAGATGGGAGAGTGAGATTAACGTACACAAAGTGGGGGGTGGCACATCAAATTATTACAATCCATTTCATTTCACGTTATTTTTTATCACGACACTCAGACAATAACAAAATAATTCCCATATTATTTATTTTGCTTTATGTCATTTTCTCACCTAACCTAATGTTGTCATGTTTTTAATTAATAGAAAAAAATGTTTAAATATTCAGGCTTCCAAATATGATGTCGACTACACTACTCGATCGTTACTGACTTACTGTTACTGTACATGTACGTGTGAAGAAGGGAATTTGACCTTATATTTTATGAGTCTAAGTCCTCAAGAGAATAACACTGTGTTTG